TCAGGTTCTTGGAGATGACATCACTCTCTCTCTCTCTCTGGAACAAGCTGGCAATAGTAGAGTTTGGTTTCCAGGACTTAGCTCTCTTCCTGCAGAGAACTGGACTAACATGCCTTATTCAAAAGGTCCAGCCAAGCTTCAAAAGTGCTTTGCATGAACTAGTGAAATGCTTTCGTAACAATATAATTTGATAGGACTGAAATTCCGTTCATGCTTGCAATGAGCAGTACATATATTTGTTTTAGTCAAAGCACACATATCCATGCACATGTATCAGTGAAAATGTCTTCAACTCTAAGTAACAGAACATTCCCTTAAGAATGTCTTAAATCTTAAAGCTCCTGGGTGGCTCAGTCGGTTAAGCTACGACTCTTAACTTCAGCTCAGGTCATGATCTCAGGGTGGTGAGATCAAGTCCCACGTTGGGCTATGAGCTGGGCATGGAACCTGCTTAAGATTCTCTCTCTGCCCCTCCTCTCCTCCCAATTTTTAAAAACCTAATGTCTTAAATCTAGGATGGCCAACTGTCCCTGTTTGCCTGGGACAAAGCAGTTTCCCAGGACATGGGAATTTCAGTGCTGAAGCTGGGACAGTTCCAGGCCAACCAAGACAGCTGGTCAGTCTCCTTAAATCATAAGGACATTTAACATTGCCTTACCAAGAAGTCTGGATGCAGGTGATCTGAGCATCAGCAAGGTACCTCTTAGCTCCCTTCCCCTTGTCACTCTCGCCACAGTGACTGCAGAAGCGTCAGGACGAGGAGGTGGGTAGCACTCGGGTCTTGGATCATCTTTCCCAGGAGCGCCCCCAAGCAGACTTCCTCTTCCATCTCATTGGCCAGAAGTGGGTCTCATGGCTACCTCTAACTGCAAGGGAGCCTGGAAAAGTGGATGTCTGGCGAAGGCAGACGGGATTGGCATCACTCTTGCTGCAGACTGAATTTTCCCTCCCAAATTCCTATGGTGAAGCCTTGATTTCCAGTTTGATCGTACTTGGAGGTGAAGCCTATGGGAGGAGCTTAGGTCATGAGAGTGGAAACCCCCTGAGTGGGATTATGGCCCGTAATGACACAAGGGACCCCAGAGAGATGATTTCTTTCTTCACCATGTGAAGATTTAGCAAGAATGTGGCCATCTCCAAACCAGGAAGGAGACCCTCACCAGGAGCCAAACTTGGCTGATATCTTGATCTTGGACTGCTTAGCCCTTCAGAACTGTGAGAAATTAACGTTCGTGGTTTAAGCCACACAATCTATGGTGTTTTATTATGGCTTTGGGCACGTTGCTTCATTTCCATTTCCTCATCTGTAAAATGGGGATAAAAACAGCTTTCCCATAGGACGCCTGTGACGCTATAGATGAGTTTATGTGTAGAAAGAGCTGAGACACTGCCTGGCCCATAGTAAATGTTCAGTACATGGTGACTTTTTGTTTTTGAGGATAAGAGCAGGATTGAATAGAGATTTTTATGAGGAGCTGTGTCATGACTCCCCATGAGAGCTTCCGAAGAATTCCTCACCTGTTAATGGTGGTGGATTTGAGTGTGTTTGAAATTGTTTGAAACTGCAATTTCAAGATGGACAGAGAGTGAGTGCGAAGGCCTCCCAGGGCATGTCCGCCATACTTGAGTTACAGAAAGGAAAAAAGACTGGCATGAGCTACACGGAAATACTTGGAGTGGAAGAGTGGCCCCGGGGTGCACGGGAGGTCAAGGTCATGCATCATTTTAGTTTCCTTCTTCATACCTGTTGGTGTTTTCTAAAACCTCTGCAGAGGGCAGGTGTGTCCTCTACAATTAGATAAGAATTTATTTCAAAACTTTGATATAGAGGAAAATACCCAATAAGGATGATTATTTTTAATATTGAACAGGTTCCATTTGTCACCTATTCCCCCAGCATCATTTTCTCTTTCTCTCCCTGCTTCTTTGTCATAGTGAGTAGTTGTACTAGACACAAATTACTGAGCACTTTACGTGTCCCAGGCACGTGCTCAGCACTTGACATGGGCAGCAAGACTGTTATTATTCCCATCTTAAAGATTTCTTTTTAAATTTATCTATTTGACAGACAGAGATTACAAGTAGGCAGAGAGGCAGGCAGAGAGAGAGGGAGAAGGAGACTCCCTGCTGAGCAGATAGCCCGATGTGGGGCTCCATCCCAGGACCCTGAGATCGTGACCTGAGCTGAAGGCAGAGGCTTTAACCCACTGAGCCACCCAGGCGCCCCAATTATTCCCATCTTAAAAAGGAGGAAAGTAAGGCTCAGAGAAGTTCAGCTGCTGGTGCATTGGCCCCTTTGAAGGAGAGCTCTTGGGTACCAGGGCTCTTACCTCTGACCAGGGTCTGTCTCTCTTTTGTCCCTTTCACTGCCTTTCCTTCTTTCATCTCTTGAAAATGATCAGCCAGGTACCTGTCTAAAAACTGACATTCAGACCAGATCATTCTCTACTGAGGTGCCACCCTGTGTGCTGTGGGACGTTTAGCAACATCCCTGGACTCTACCCAGTAGATGCCAGCAATGATCCCCACACACCAGCCCCAGCTGTCACAACCAACATGTCTCCAGACGTCGCCAAATATCCCTGGAGACCAAAATCATCCTCATTAGAGCCACGGATGGAGGCTGATCTCAGCAGTCGATGTGGCAAAGGATTCTGGAGGCCCTCCAGTTGAACGATCGCCGACGAGAGCCCATGGGAACAGGCTGTGCCCTACTGGCAAGTCCCCAAGCTCACTTGAGGCAGCTGCCACCTGCTAGGACATTTCAGGGCAGGGCCTGACAAACACTTGGGGGGCCTCTGGCAATAGGGAGATAATTCCGCGGCTTATCCCAGAAGCTGGGAGCTAGGATCAGAAGGAGTAATAATGGGCGCTCCTCGGCCAGCAAAGGGGAGGAGGCCCCATGCTGGTCTGTGGAATGTGGGCAACAGATCCGCGGAAGGAGGTGGGAAGATCAGCGGGCTCAGAGGTGTTGATTTCTAGTCCTTGTCCTGTTCCCACTTGCCATATGCATTCAGTCGAGTCCTTTGAGAACATGAATGCTCCCCTCTGTGTCTTCCCAGGACAGGAGTAGGATGTGTGCAAACTGGCCCCTCTGTGCCCCCGGCCCCTTACTTTACTCTTTTTCAGAGCATGTGACGTTCTGTTGTATCTGTGTTCATGCTCTGTCACCCCCACCTAAATTTCAGCTCCCGAGGGTAGAGGAGCCTCGGATGCTTGGAGCCCACAACCGTCCGTAGCAGGCACAGGAAATGTTCCATAAAGACGTGCAGAATGAAAGCAAATACCCTCCACGCCCCACGGGGCAGCGATCTGAAAATACACCTTAACAGCCACAGCTGTGTCAAGCCCTTCGTACGCAGTGGCGCCACTTCTGAGAATCCACGGCCCCCACTCCGAGTAATCCAACGTGAAGAAAAAGCCTTGTGTGAATCCATGTGTAGTCAACAGTGGCTCAAATGGCACCCCAAAAAAACCCAACCTGAAAACCCCACCTAAGTAGTCAAGATACGGGGGTCATTAAAGCACCCTTGAAAAATACACTTGGTGAAATTCCAGATTCGCGGTATACAACCGTGCACAACAGTTACAAAACTGTGAAGCAATACTTACCTGGCAGGGGAGGTCCCGTGATCACGAAGATGGTTTTCCCAGGGAGAGGCTTATCCATTGCACTCCGGATGTGCTGACCCCTGCGATTTCCCCAAATGTGGGAAACTCGAGTGCATAACGTGTGGTAGTGGGGGACTGTGTTCATTCACGCTTTCCCCTGGGAAAAAACAAAACAACTGTAAAGCGTGTTGCAAGACTGTCTGGGTAGCCCAACAGCAGAGATTATAGGCGTGAGCATCCTTTCCTGGTGGGAATATCATGCACCATCCATCTGGAGGGCAATTTGCAAGTTCCTAATTAAAATGCCAGTGTTGGGGCACCCGGGTGGCTCAGTCGGTTGAGCAGCTGACCCTTGGTTTTGGCTCAGGTCATGATCTCGGGGTCCTGGGACCGAGCCCCGCATTGGGCCCCTCGCTCAGCTTGGAGTCTGCTGGAAATGGTCTCTCCCATTCCCTCTGCCCCTCTGCCCTGTGAGTGTGCATGCACACACACTCTCTCTCTCAAATAAATAAATAAATCTTTTAAAAAAATAAAAACGAAAGGTAAAATGCAAGTGTTCATGTCACTTGACCCAGTGATTGCATTTCTAGGAATTAATTTTTCTAGGGATTGATGTGTTTCTAGGAATTTATCCTAGAAACATCCCAGATGTCTGCGCCTAGGAGAATGGTTAAATAAATCACCGTGTATCACTATAATGGAATACTACGCAGCCATTAAAAACAAGGAGGTACGCACATACCGACATGGAGAAATGCCCAAAATATATCATTAAGTTAAAAAAAAGTTGCAAAACATTTTTGTATGATAGTAATGATGTCATAACTTATAGTATAAACATGAACATTTAAAAAATCTGGAGGACTATAAACCAAAGTGTTGGGTTTTTTTTTTTCTAAAGGACTGAGGAAGATTTTTCTCTACATTGTTAATTTCTACAATGTCTGAAATTTTAAACATAGCTGCTAATAGAAAACACTGGGCCTGCAGCATGAGCTCACTCATATGAGCAAAAAGAAGTGAGGATATGAGGACCAAAAGCAATTCCATCAAGGGGTCATTAACAGTGATCGATCATTTCTCGGTAGTAGGATAATAGGCACTTACTGTTCTACTTCTTTAAGTTGTTATTTATTTAAGTAATTTCTGCACCCCACATGGGGCTCGAACTCACAACAGTGAGGTCGAGGGTCCCATGCTCTTCCCTCTGTGCCAGCCAGGCACCCCTGTTTTTCTTCTTTTGAAGGAGAACTTGTAGGAAGAGCGTGTGAGGTCTTTACAAAGGACAACATCCTCCCCAAACACTTTGTTTAAACTGGGTGATGCTCAAGGTCATAGAACATTCTGTCAACATAACCTGCTGTGGGATGGTGTCCTGTCTCCCCAGGATGGACGACATCCAGCTCTGCAATGACATTATGGACCTGAAGCAGGAGCTACAGAATTTGGTTGCCATCCCAGGTAAGCATGTGGGACTCCAGCCTAGTTAAGGAGGTGCCCAGAGCCCCCCAGCCAGCCCTGTCTGTGCCCCTTAGGTCTGGAAGGCTGAGTTCATCTCTGCTCCTAGCACAGCCCCATTCTTGCTATGTGATGCTCCCTGTCAGGCTACCCGGCTTCAAGTCTTCATTCTGGCCCCCTCCTTGACCTTGGGAAAGTCACTTTATCTGACTCTCCATTTCCTGGCCTCTGAAAACAGGGTAGTACTAGTCACAGCCCTTAACTCATTGGGTATAAATCTCCTTGTGATACATTGAACATGGCAAGCCATGGGCTTAGCTTCACATCTGGTCCAAAATGAAGAGTCCAGTAAGTATTAATGATTACTACTATTACTATTCTGTTTAGGGGTGGGTAGAGTATGGGGGTTACAAGCTCTGACTTTGGAGTCCAAACTAGATCTCTCGATTACTAATGAATGACATGACCAGAAACAACTTACTCCACCAAATTCAGTTTCCTCGCCTGTCAGCTGGGACAATAATGGTATCTACCTCATAGGGTCGTTGTGGAATTGACTGAGAGGAAAAACATGTATGGTGCTAGACACAGTTCCCATCCTTTAGTAAGTGCTTAAAGAAATTGTTACTGTTGTTCTTGTCATTAACTGAACAAACTTGTACCCACTTTTATATTTATACACTAATTCTTTTTAACCTGATAGTAGCAAACCTATTACCTTTTGACCTAAGTTCCTTTTTATGGATCATAATTATCTTTTCTAAACCTACAAATATTTAATGAGAAAAGTGGCATGTTCAAAAAATTTTTATGAAATCTCTTTTATGTCTTAAGATGTTGCTGTATCTGCTTTGGTAGGTATTGGGTTGGAAAATATGGTTTTGCTTCAAGTATATGGAATAAAGCTAGATACACACACACACACACTCAGACACACACACACTCACAGACACACACACACAGTGTCTACTCCTGACTCCTAATTTATTTTTTTTATTTATTATTATTTATTTGACAGACAGAGATCACAAGTAGGCAGAGAGGCAGACAGAGAGAGAGGAAGGGAAACAGGCTCCCTGCTGAGCAGAGAGCCCGATGCGGGGCTCGATCCCAGGATCCTGAGATCATGACCCGAGCCGAAGGCAGAGTCTTAAACCACTGAGCCACCCAAGCGCCCCCTGACTCCTAATTTATTTGGCCTCTTTTCCCAAGAGAGCTTTCCCTGCCCTCCAGGCTGGCTTAGGTGCAGGAATGAGGGCCTGGCAGGTGCTAAGGGAAGGTGTATTGGGTGCAGAAAATAACCCTGTCTCAAGAATCTTGCCTTAGGGAACACCTGGGTAATTCTGTCAGTTAAGCGTCTGCCTTTGGCTCGCGTCATGATCTCAGGGTCCTGGGATCCAATCCTGCATCGGGCTCCCTGCTCAGCAGGGAGGCTGTTTCTCCCTCTGCCTGCTGCTTCTCCCCTACCTGCCTGGGCTAGGTGCTGGTCACGTGACAAAGACAAAATGATTCCCTGCTCCAGCCACTCACAACTCAGTGGGAAGATGGGGCTTGGCGCTCAGTGGTACCAGTGAGTGGTAGCTATGACTGGTCAGAAAGGACAGTCGAAGGGGTTGTAGGTCCAGAGGCGCCTGGGTGGTTCAGTCATTTAAGCGCCTGACTCGGTTTCAGCTCAGGCCATGACTGCAGGGTCGTGAGATCGAGCCCTGTGTGGGGCTCCATGCTCAGCGGGGAGTCTGCTCAGGATTTTCTCTCTCCCTCTGCCCCTCCCCCCACCCCACTTACGCACACTCAATATCTTTCTCTCTCTCTCTCTCTCTCAAAAAAAGAGAGAGAGGATGCATTATGGAACCGAGCACTGTTCTAATGCCTTCTCACTAGAACATGTAGGGCTGGGCCATTCTTTGTTGAGGCTGGTGGGGGGCCTGTTCTGTGTGCTGTAAGGTACTCAGCAGCAGCACCCCTGGCCTCTACCCACGAGATGCCTGTAGCAACTCCCTGCTCCACAGCTGTGACAACCAAGGATGCCTCCAGGTGTTGCCAAATATACACTGGCAGATGGGTGCAAAATTGCCACCTAAGGGCCCTTACTTATATTTTTAAAGATTTTATTTATTCATTTGACAGAGGGAGAGCACAAGCAGGGGGAGTGGCAGAGGGGGAGGGAGGAGCAGGGAGGAGCTCCCTGCTCAGCGGGGAGCCTGATGCGGGGCTCCATTTCAGAACCCTGGGATCACGACCTGAGCCGAAGGCAGACACTTAATGCCTGAGCCCCCTGGGTGCCCCGAGAACCCCTACTTTAGAGTCCAGGTCCTGGCTTTGAATCCATGCTGGCCAGACAGGTGGCCTTCATGCGGCAACTTAATCTCTCTGAGCCTTAACGTTCCTTGTTTGCAAAATGAGGCCAAGAATGCCAGCCTCCCATGGTCGCCGTGCAGATGCTGTGGGGTGGGAGATGAGAAGCGTGGGAGCGCTCGGTCCATTCCTCTTCTGATGGCAGGGCGGGCGTAAGGGGCCAGCAGATCCTCCGGACGCCAGTGTCCCAGTGATCACTCACCAGGTGCCAGGCACGGTGCGGGCGGACAGCACTCAGATACCGGGCATCTCCTCGAGGGACCAAACTCTTCTAGGATGGCTTGTCGACACGGTTGCATGACTCGATGGGGGACTTGTAATGCAACGTGAACTATATCTTGAGAACACCCCTACCACAGAAAGTCAAATGCCCGACGCAAAGCATCCAAAGAAGGGAGCAAGAAGAACAAGGTCCAGACAGCACCTGCTAGAAATTCGATCCTGGGAGTGCAGAGCTCTGGCTTGGGTCATTTCTTAGAGCCTCGAGTGACTGTAAGGAACACCCAGGGTGTAGAGGCACCCCTGAGGACGGCCGGTTCTGCTGTCCCATTTCTATATCCCGCCAAGAACCAGTTTCAAAGGTAGAAAAACCCACCCCAGCTGATGGCAGCACTAAATGGGCAATTACTGGAAGGGCAGAGGAGGCTTCTGGAGCCCTGGGCCTTTGCATGAGCTCTCTGTCAAATTCCCTCCAACAGCATGAAACAACCCAAATTGATTCTCTTAGTTCTGGAGACCAGAAGTCAGGAATCTGGGCCCTGCTCCCTCCGGAAGCTCTAGAGGAGAATCCTTCCTTACCTCTTCCCACTCCCAGTGGCTGCGGGCGGTCTGTGGTGCTCCTTGGCTTGCGGCTGACTTGCTCCAATCTCTGCTTCTCTCATCCCATGGCTTCTTCCCTGTACATCTAGGCGTCCTCTCCACGTCTCCCAGGACAACTGTCATTGGATTTATGCTCCCCCTAGTGAATATGATCTCATCTCACTAAGTACATCTGCAAAGATCCTCTTTCCAAACCCAGTAAACAGGACATTTTGGAGGGGGAGGGGGATACTATTCAACCTAATACTGGCCTGAAGCTCAACCCAATCTCACAAGGGTTCGGAAACAAGAAAGTTGTTAGAATATTCCCTTCCTGTCTGTCTGTCTGTCTTTCTCTCTCCGCCTCTGTTTCGGATGAGTCAAGCAAGCCCACTCTATCTCCCTCCCATCATCTTCTCACCCAAAAACCCAACTATTCTATGTTTAGCAGAACTCGTAGGACACACAGATTAGCATAGCGTATCCTTCCTGTAAACAGATCCTCCTAGTTCCAGTAAGACCCCTTGTCACACATCACTTGCTTGAGAAACAGTGACGAAGATTTACGATTATCCAGAAGGACCAAAACGGTGGGAGCAAAGAAGAGCAGACGGTCTTCTCTGAGCACTGACCCTCTTGCCTTCTCCTCTCTTTCACAGCAAAAACAAACAAAAACAAAACAAAACCCCAAAAAACCAACTTTTAGGGCCTCAGTGTCTTAATTTTCAGCCTCTGAGAACTCTGATGGGCCTAGCAAGGGTTGATTTCCAGGATCACTTTTGGCTCAGCAGAACACATGGGAGCTCCTGAGGCAAAGGAGACATGGGTGTGTGACCACTGGACCAGCCAGGGCCACCTCAGGCCTCAGGGGCTCCAGTCAGGGCCATGGAAGCTTCTAGAACACAGGTGGAAATGGATGGGAGCAGGTGTTCTTGGCTGACGCAGTCCCTGGGATGCCTGGCTGACCCAGAACAGGGACTAGGATGAGGAGGACAAGGTCAGCCAGGTCACCAAAAAATCCAGTAACCATGACAAAGAATACATTAACGCAATATTTAAAATACCAAAATAGGGGTGCCTGGGTGACTCAGTTGGTTAAGTGTCTGACTCATGATTTAGGCTCCAGTCATGATCTCAGAGTCATAGGATCGAGCCCCGCATTGGGCTCTGCACTCACCTGGGAGTCTGCTTAGGATTCTCTCCCTCTGCACTTCATCCTACCCACATGTACTCTCTCTGTCAATCTTTAAAATAAAGTAAATAAATCTTTTTTTTTTTAATTTTAAAATACCAAAATACACACACACATATACACACACAATCCATGATAAACAAAATACCAAAAATTTAAATTAAGATCAGTACCCACACTCAGCAGGCAAAGTCCAGGGATGCCAAAACATGCAGCGCAGGGGGGCGTCCCACGTGAAGAGTGCCTTCCGCCTGAAATATCATTGACTATCTGGCTAAGAATCATGGGTTGATAAGGTCATGGGACCAGTTAGTAATAGAGCTTAGGTCCTCAATGCCAGTTCCATTGACTCCCCCAGGAAATCAAGTTTTCCCAGTGACCTTTGTGTAGAAATTCACATATTAAAATTTTCTTTCTTCTTCTGCTTTCCTACTCACCTCTCCCTACCTTCTCCTCCAACTCTTTGTTGAGTCTTTCTGTGTGTTCCCTGGACCAGGCCAAGTGTTTAGATGGATTCAGCTGAGTGTAGGCAGGGGAAGAAACAGTGCTCCTGATGACACATCAATAAAAGTATCAAGCAAAGAGATCACTGAATGGCCAAGAAATTCACACCTCTCCAGCCAGGGTCAGAAGATCATTCACCAGCTCCCCAGTGGTGGATGCAGATATCTGGCTGGAGAGAATGCCTGGGGCCTTCTCTGCCTTGAGGACTCCTCTGGGACAAGCCAAGATATGTCATCTCACCTCCACTGCCCCCACTGCCTCCTCAGAACTGGAGAGGTCATGGCACCTTCCCCTTGGACATAAAAGTAGTGTCTCCCTCATACGGTTGTCGGAAAGGACTAAAGTTGTAGTTCTCAACCAGGGGTGATTTTGTCCCCCCTCCGAGGGACACTGGACAATGTCTGGAGGCATTTTTGGTTGTCACATCTGGGGTGGGGTACTGCTGGCCCCTAGTGGGTAGAGGCTGGGCATCTGGCTAAACACCATGCAGTATACAGGACAGCCTTTGCAACAAAGAATGATCCAGTCTCGAATATCAGTGGTGCTGGTTGAGAAACAGGACTAAATGGAAACGACAAGCTCATGGAAATACAAATATAACAGCTGCAATTTATGAAGCACTTCTCATTTGTACACTTAAGCTGAGATTCGCTTTTCGTTCATTAAATAAGTATTTATTTCTTTTGTACCTGATTCAGTAAATATTTAAGAGAGGAGCATTTAGTCATTAAAACAACGGTGACGATATACAATAATGGCTTATAATGGAAGAAGCTGACAGTTCATGAGCCCTTACGAGATACCAGGCAGTGAGCCTACTTTCCTTGGTCTATCTCTCTTAAAATTTGCAGCAACTTCATGATCACCTATGTTGAGAGACTGGATGCCCAGAGGGGTTGAGGGACGTGCTGGAGTTGCACAGCTAGGGAGAGGAGAAGGTAGGGTGTGAAAGTAGGACCGTCTGGTTCTATAATGGGCGCTCACAACTGTGTTGGGGTGACAGGCCAGAGAGTCCAGCTAGGAGGGCACACATGGTCCAGGAAGAGATGGCCTGGGCTAAGGAGGTGTGCTGGAGAAGATGAGAAGCCCAGTTGGAGAGTCACGTTGGTAGGCATGTGGAGATGTTAGGAATCAGGTGTGTGCTGCCAGCAAACGGGGTCAAGCTGGCAAGCTGGCAATTCTCATTGGCAAGTAGGTGGATAATGTTGGCAAGCAAAAGGATCACATCACCAAGCAAGTGTTGGTGCCTGGAGTGGTGAGAGGTGCACGGAGGCAGTTGGAAGATGCCTGGTAGGAAGTGGGGGTGCCTAGAGGCAGGTGGTTGATGCCTGGGGGCAAGTAGGTGGTACCTAGAGGCCAGTGGGTGGTGTCTGCAGACAAGTCGCCCAACACTTTTCATCTTCTGAAGGGGCCTGGGCGGAGGGAGCAGAAGCAGGTTCAAGTTTCTGCCTCCTTTTCTCAGTCATCTCTAGCCCTGACTCTTTTGTTTTCTCTTTGGCCTTCTAGGCCTTGGTATCTGGGACAGGACAAGAGCCATCAGGATGGATGATTTCCTTGTACACATTGGTTGGCCCTGGCTGTAGAGTAACTCCCTCCTACACCCCTGCCTGGGCCCTCGGAGCCCCTTGCCTTCTGCATGAACCCCTTGTTGCATCATTAACCACCTCCTAAGTACCTGCTGCGGGCCCAGCTCTGTACTAAGCCATTCACTAACACCGCTGCCTTTAAGCCCCACCATGTGTCTTTACAGGAAAGGAAACTGAGCCTTGAAGAGGTCCAGTTGCTTCTTCAAGTTCACCCAGCAAGTGACATGGCAGAGCCGGGATCCCAACCCAGGCCCCTGGACTTACATGCTTCTAGCATTTGCACTTGACAGTTTCTTTGCTGGTGTTTTCTTTTTCCCAGAAAAAGAAAAGACCAAGCTGCAAAAGCAGAGAGAGGATGAGCTAATCCAGAAGATCCACAAGCTGGTGCAGAAGAGAGACTTTCTGGTGGATGATGCAGAGGTCGAGCGGCTAAGGTGAGTGGGCTCCCATCTTCTGCTGCAGGGACTCATGGAATGGCCTGACAGGTGTGGCCTCAACAAATGCTCCCACATACTGGATCCAAATGAACCCCCAGCCTTCTCGTCTGAGGACCTGTTGCACATCCCAGGGAAACTGGAATCCAACTCCAGAAAGTCTTGCAAAGGCCTGTGGGTCCTAAGACAATGTTACTTGAGGAGGTGACCAGGGAGCAATTATATCACATGACACATGGCAGAGCCTCCTACGCATTCTCTTCACTGACCTTTCTCCCAAGGCAAACTGGTCATCAAGGCCACTTCCTGAAACTTCCATGGGTTTCTACAGAAACCCTGCCCCTTGGGCTGACTTGCTTCCTTGCCTGCCCTCTCCACTTCCCGACTTTGTTCTATTCTCCTGCCCCCCCCCAAAACCCCTCACCGCCCCACACCTTGGTGGCTCCAGCACCACTCCCTAGCTCTCAGGGTCTCCTATTTGCAGATGCATCTGCCACTTGATCTGGACAACCATGGGCACTGGAGGCACAGGGCACCCACTCAAAGGAAAGGAATGTTGATTCTTGAGTATGTTTGTCCTGGAGCCGTGCCTTTGGAAAGCCCCACAAGGACAGAGGCTCACAGGTCTTCTTCCAACCTAGGAGGCATCTAGCTCTTTATTGTCTGTGTCCTCCTGGGTCCTCTGAAGGCTGGAATGTTCCTCGCCTGGCTCAGCCAGGCTGGGCCTGCTGACTTGTTCCTGATGACCCTTGGAAGAGTTTAGGTGAATTGCTGATACTTACCACAGACCTCATGGGAGCACAGATGTGTAGGTGACTTAAGGGTACAGGGTCAGGAGAGGTGTTATTCAGCTCACTGAAACCCCTGCAGAGGCTGGGTCCTAGCATGGCCTTGCCTTTGCCCTGGGATCTCACCCAGGCCCCAGGGAGACAGTTACTCCATTATTGATACATGTCTGTGGTTCAGAGTAAGTTCTTCAAATGCAACATGCATACACCACTGACACATAACACAAAAAAAAACATGGGCACACCACCCACGCATAAAACAGAACATACATTCCCCATCCACATGTAACATGCAGTATACACGTATCAGCCGCACATAATACACAGAAGCATACCCACACCAGCCACAGAGCCTGATGCGTGGTCCCACACACTTAACCTCTGGCCCCATTTCCTCAGTTTCTTGGTGCTTTCCTTGCTTACTCTACTTCCCTCTTGTCTTTACATGCCTGTCTCCACAGGGAGCAAGAAGAAGACAAGGAAATGGCGGATTTCCTGAGAATCAAGTTAAAACCTCTAGATAAAGTAACCAAATCTCCAGCCAGTGAGTGCCTACATTCTTCTTCCTCCTTCCCCCATTCAGGAGAAAAGGAAATTTTAAAGAGGTCTGGGAGCCAGAGGGGGGACAACAAAATACTTTCTAGAGATCAGACTTGGGCACATGATAGCAGCAGGTGGGGCCTGCTTCATGGGCATGCCTCCAGGGAAGTTGCCCAGGCCCCGATGCCCAGAAGGGCACTGTGCTTGTTTTCATGGTCTTCTCTTGCTATGTTGAGGTTCTTAATAGTTCTGGAACAAGGGGCCCTGCATTTTCATTTTGCCTGGGGTTCGGCAGACTGTAGCTGGTCCTAGCAGCAGCTGTCTCTTATCAATCGTAGGTTTGGAGGATTTCTCAGGAGTTGCATGGCCACTGAGGCAGAACGGTGGGGGCTGAGGCTCAGGGAAATCCAGCCTCTGTTGATAATCAGAGCAAAAAGTTTCCATGTGAAACAAGTTTGGGAAATGATACATATTTGATCTTCTGTTTGGTGCCAATATTTATTAGCCTATAAAAGTGGTAACAGGTTCTGCTTCTCTTTGTTGACCCAGTGAGGCTACGTTTAGTTATAGGAAACATACTCAATTCAAATTTACAATAGCACAAAGGGGGATTTGTTGGAAGAAGTGCAACAGGAACCAGCTTCGGGGACTAGACACTGTTAGAATGCCTTCATTTTCCTTCTGTTTCTATTTCTGCCCCTCCGCATATGTGAGCTTCATTTTCTCCTACTACATGGATGGGCCTTCTTCCTGGGGCCTGAACTGCAGAACCATAAATTAGCAGCAGCAAGACAACACCATACATTCTCTCTCCTGGTATCCAAACACATCAATCACAGGGGAATACTCTGACTGGCCCTTCTCGGATCATGTTCCCACCTCCTAGGCCTTCGCCGTCATCAAGAGGCTGGGATGCTATGATTGGCCAGATCTGTGTTGCATGCCTGCTTCTGTAGCCCCAGAGACATCAACTGTTATCAGAGTGAGAGGACTGGAAATCTTGCTAGGAAGATAAAACCCAAAGGCCACCACCATTTACTATGGCCACAAACCCAGTTTTCCTTGACCATCTATTAATATCCCATGAAATGTGGGGTAGAGTACAAGGGAATAAAGAAAGAAGAAGGTACCCTTCTTCAGGCCCCTAATATCACAAGGCATATGGTCCTTGCCTAAATCCAGCATCCTCAGTGGACTGTCTCTTTCATGAAAAGCCAATCAGAAAAAGTCCACCTAATGGGAGAGAGGAGGAGCAAGGAAAGCACGGTTATGAATAACAAAAAGTAATCTGGCAAGAAATCAAAACACCCAGTTTTTTGTACCCCATGCAAAGGGCCAAGTGTCCAAATTTGCACAAATCTTCTAGTGCTGGGATCTAAAGTTGAAAAATTAAAACTAAAAAAAAGCCACTGAAATCTCTGGGGTCCCAGCAAAGCAGATGCAAAACTGCTCAGTGAGGACCTTTCTGCATCCCACAATACGTAACCCACAGTTTTGGAAAAAAAACAACAACAAACAACTCTATGAAAATGAACTGTTGATAAAAATTTTAAACCCATAAAGAACTGAACCCCATGAGTGGAGTCAGTAGATACCACAAAAAGAATGTCTTCCCAAGAACTGGAGATAACAAACTATCTAAAAGAGATAATAAACTAAGTATATTTAAAACGATGAAAGAGATAAGAGAAGGGGTAAAACCCAAAATGAAATAGCAGGATGTCATGAGAAAAGAATTGGTAGATTTGCAAATAATTACATTTCTAAAAAAACTGCCACAGAAGTAAAAACTTGTAGATTAAACAGAGCTGAAGGGAGAATTCATAAATTGGAAGACAGAGCTGAGGAAATTAACCAGCATGTAACACAAAGAGACAAAGATATGGCAAATGTCTTCCAAAACATGGAAGAGAGAATAAGAAAGTCCAGCTTACTTCAAATAGGCATTCTAGAAGGAGTGATAACAGAAAACAAGGAATTTTCTGGAAGGATAATGTATGACCAATTCCCAGAATTAAAAGACATGAAACCCCAGATTAAAGTGACTTGGACGATACTTCCCATTTATCCATTCACCAAATACTTTGAATGCCAGACCCTGTGCCAGGCTTGGCAGATACAATGGCGAAGAGAACTGAATAGGATAAGAGCTAAAGGCTGTGACTGGAAGCTGAGGACTGAAAGTCAGGGGGCTCACAGGGAGGTGGGAATAGTTATTGGAACCATATAAAACACATGCCAGCTCTCCACTGCACCTAATCTGTAGAGCTGGAGCAAGGCCTGGCTAGGGGTTGGGATGGGACAGGGGCTGCTGATGGTCGGGGCTCTCCTTATGTCACCTCTTCCTCTCTCCTTTTTCCCCTATCTCTTTCTGTGCCCCTATCCTGCTGCAGGCTCCCGAGCAGAGAAGAAAGCAGAGCCCCCACCTAGCAAGCCCACAGTGGCCAAGACTGGGCTGGCACTCATCAAGGATTGCTGCGGGGCCACCCAGTGTAATATCATGTAGCCCCCCAATGTGGGGTGCCCCCGGGGCCACGGGGACCCCCCTCCCACCCTCTTGTCTTCATAGCCCCCATTTCACAGGGGCCCAAGAGCTCTCCAAGGCGGAAGGGGTTGAAGGCAAGCCTGTGACTGCCGCCAGGGGCCGTGGGCGTGGCGGGCGGGCCCGGCCGCCCTGTACAGAGTGTAGCAATAGGGAGTCCCTCACTGTCGCATGGCCCCCCCCAGAGCATGCCAAACCCAGGAGTCTGTCTCACTGTTTATCCAACCACCAGGAAAGGTCCTCCCTTGAAAAAGTGTATCTCCACTTCTATCTATCTATATCTAACCTACCGTGTGAATGAACTGGGAGAGGGGCATGATCCCCAGGTGTGTATAGTCGTGACTTTTCAACAATTTAGCACCATGTTGGACACATCCCCCATCCACCCTTCTAGCTCTGCTATCAGGCCTGCCCTGGATGGGCACAGCTCCCGTCTCCCGTCTGTCCTCTCCCAGGGGCTGTGCTCTGGAGGGCTCCACACAGCCCATGCGTCTTGGAGACATGAGGGCCCATCTGTAAAGACTGAGTTTGTGTGTGGTGTTGTGGTTACGTCTCCTGCTTCTTCCCCTCCTGTGTCTGGGCATGGTTCACATCGGGAGTGTGTCCATTTGCTCTTGGCTCTTCCTTCCCTTGCAATGTCTGCCCCAGGTGTGTGGAGCAAAGTGGGGATGAGGGCCTGGGCTGGAGCACAACCAGTGCTCAGAAGAGGTAGCAGAGTGCTGGGGGCTCCAACACCAGGCATGGGCAGATGAGAAGGGAACCCAGAGCAGATGCTGACTCAGGCGCTCTCCACCCACTGGGGGCCACTGGAGGGAGTGCCAGCAGGACACCACTCACCAGCCTAACACGAAGACCTCCGGAAACAGCAGCGGCGGGCGGGAGAGGTGGCCTGACCCAACCGTGTCCCATCATTTGGTGGTGTATTTTAACCAGCCTAATAATTCCACCTGTGTAACTTGATGTACATTTGCAACAGCCAGCCCGGCACAGCCCATGTGACCTCTCTGTGCATGTGTGTGTTGTGACCGGCCTAACGTAGTTAGCGTAACTCAAGATTCGCTGATGCGCAACCATCCATCAGAGAAAATAAAAATGGAAACCACGTACACGGGATTTTTAACGTTTTTTACTTTTTCCTTGATTATGGAAGTTATCCACATACCCAGTAAACCTTTTAAAAGTATAGAAAGTATAAAGAAGTTTCTCGTTTTCTGTTTGTATCTCCCACAAATTTTCCAACTTGAGACCACGCTGCCCTTGTGGCAGATTTTCCTTCATGCAATTTTTTTTCCCCAACAATCAGCATCATATTGTACCATTTTATAACCAGTTTCTTTTTTCATCTGGTGTTATATCACTACCATTTTCCCACATCATTAAGACCTCTTTGTAACATTAAACACTCTTTACAAATATTTGTAATGGCTGCTTAGTAATCCATCTTGTAGGTATGCCATAATCTATCTAACTAACCCTACCTTACTATCAGACATTTAAGCTGCTTCTACTTTTTCGGTATTATCAAGAATGTCATGGGGTACCTGGGTGGCTCAGTTGGTTCGGTGTCCAACTCTTGGATTTTGGCTCAGGTCATGATCCCAGGGTCCTGAGATGGATCCCAACGTCAGGATCCATGCTCAGTGTGGAGTCTGTATGTCCTTCTCCCTCTGCTCCTTCCCTGCTCGTGCTCTTTCTCCCTCTCTCAAAGAAATAAATGAAATCTTAAAAAAAAAAAAAGAATGTTAAGATAAATACCATGGGGAACAAAGCTTCATCTGAATTTCTGATTTTTCCTTAAGACGAAAGTCAAGTTCTTAGGATCACCTTTTTCAAAAACATTTGTGAATGTTTTTCAAGTTATAGCAGCTTTGCCGTTGACACACAGTATCTCAAACTGAGGACCCCAGAGCCTTGGGTTCCCTGGCCCTTGCAGCACCCCCTCAGTCCCTCCCACTGTTTCAGATGTGTTTGTGCCTTAGTCCAAGCTTTGGCCTGCACACACTTCCTGCCATTTTGAAGCCGAAGAGGCTGCCATTGGCCACTGCCTGTGCCACCACGCCGGGCTTAGGGGACCCCATGGCCTCCTTCACTGCCCTAGACCAAGCATGAAGTCAGACTCTGTGAGCTTCCCAGGATGCTCCCATAACATGGTACCTCAACCAGGTGGCTGAAAACAACACAAATATATACCTCTCACAGTTCCGGAGGCCAGAGGTCTGAAATCAAGGAGCTGACAGAGCCATGCTCCCTCTGGCAGCTCTTGGGAAGCATTCTTCACTGCTTCCTACTCCTGGCAATCCTTGGCTTCATCATCCCAGTTTCCACCTCTGTCCTCATATGGTTTTGTCCTCTGTGTGTCTGTGTCTTATCCTCTTCTTATAAGGTGCACCTTAAACCCAGGGTGCTTTCCTGTAGATCCCTAGCTTACTGACTTCTGCAAAGACCCTATTTCCAGATAAGGTCACATCCTGAGATGTGAATTTTGGCAGGGGGACGGGCAGGAGACATGCTCTTCAAGCCACTCCATGGATGCTTCCCACTCTTGTAATAAAAACCCACAGGCTGCGAAGGGTCTGCTACTTTTCTTTCTTTGTAGAAAACATGGGTATTGAAGGCTTGACCTCAGACCAATTAGAGAGCAGTTACTCACTGATCTAATGAGCCAAAGGAGATTGAAGGCCTCATAAAAATTCTGCCTCTAGTACATCCCCTGAGCCCTGAGGTACACCGAATTTATGTTCCTGCTATTTCTATTGATTTGTTTTCAACAAACAAAAAAAAACCCCACCATTTATTCAGGCTTTCACACAAGAGCCAAAGAAAGTAATAATTCAAGATGTTTCCAGATCACCAGGGCTGCCTGTAAAGCCAGGAAACCTTGCAGACCCAGACTCACTCATTTTGGAAGCTGGAGCGGAAAAGATACAACAGGAGAAACGTTTACTGAGAGCTACGTGGGCCTAACCCCAGAGGCAGATGTTCTCATCACTTCTCTACAAATGAGGAGGTTGTCCCAAGTCCTTTGAGCAACGCCCTATGGATTGTTGGTGGTGGAATCATCATTAATCCAACCTTCTCCTGTAGCCTAAGAGGCCTTTGTTTTCCCATCAGAATTGAAACAAATCTCTCCCATCACCAACCAACCAACCAACCAACCAACCAACCAACCAACCCTCCATCCCATCTTCCCCTGCAGCCACTATCTCTCTGTCCCTCTTCATAGCCTTACATGTTGCGAGTTATCTGCCATCTTGCTATCTTCATTTCCTCATCTCTAGTCCCATCCTCACCCTATTTCAACTGGTTTCTGGCACTCTTTTGTCCCTGACCCCTCTCACTGGGGATGTCACCATGGTATGTAGGGAAAGAAAAATCCTTTCCTTTGCCTGTCTCACGTTCTCCAGATGGAGTCCTTTCAGTGAGATGGGCCAAAGAGAAGACCGAGAGAAAAACAGGCAGGAGTGTATGAACACAGGCACTACACAAGTACATGTGGGGGCACTGGACAATCAACAATCCAACGAGGTCCTTGGAACTTGAACTTACATACGGCCTGAACTAAAAGGGGAAAGGGTTCTGGGCTTCCGGGAGGGTAGCAAGTTATGGGAAGAGGACCCAGAAAAGTATGGTAAACAAGGGTTGTGTGGTTAGGTTTGTTATGCAGATGTAAGACCTGCCTTCTCCATGGATGAGACTCCTCCTCCTGGTGTGGGAGAGGGAGACACCTTTTACAAATGGGAATTTCCTTTATAAATGGAGCTCTCCTTTATGAAAGGAGTGCTTTCGCTGCACTTGTTGGTTCTCAAGGAACTTTAGCTCAAAATAATCCATATGCCAAAAGGGCATGACTTTGGGTGGCGTATCCTGGCACCCCGCATTTATGTCCCATCCATGCAGTCAGCCCTCAGGCTAGCTCTCTGAGATGTGTCATGGCCCAGTTACGATACTGCCAAAATACCCCATCTCAAGGCGAACCGCACCACCCAGGAAGACCTCTCTTCAGTCTCCTTTCTCTCTTCCTTGACCTCAGGGCCTGGCCCTCAGCATTCTGCTCTTGCCCGCTGGGGGCCTTAGAAGGCCTTTGCCCCCAGACTGCTCCTGGATTCCTTCCTTCACCTAGAATAGACCTTTCTCCTGTACTCAGAACCACTTTCCCCACGGCTTCCTAGACTCTCCATTTGAAACCAGAAGAGGCACATCAAATGTGACATGTCCTAAACGAGGGGCCAGAGAACCGTCCCCTCACCTGCTTATTGTAAACTGAGTTTTATTGGTGGGTAACCAAGAGCAATTGTACATATATTGTCTCCGGCTGCTTTTGGGGCTACAAGAGCCTAGCTGAGTACTTGTGACAGAGACCCCATGGCTGGCGAATCCTAAAATACTTATGGTGGCCCTTTAAGAAAAAGTTGGCCAGTCCCCATCCTAAGCTGCCTCAGTTTCCCCTATGTTTTCCCATTTCAAGAAAGGTTATCACAGGAGGTGACCTGGACTCATCTGTTTCTCCTCACATTCCCCCAGTTCCCAAGTCTTTAGCTTTTGCCCCCCGAGTCTCCCTAGAGTCCGTGCACACTGCCATGCTCCCAGCGTAACCGCCATCCCCTTTTGCTCAGTCACCCACAGGAGCTCTGAACCGGCCTCCTTAGCACCTGGTCATGCTCCACACCATGGCCGGCTGCTTTTCTGAGTAATACAAACCTAATTGTCATTCTGCTCTTTAAAACAGTGCCTGTGCCTTTAGGTTGAAATCCACGTTCTCTCGCGTGGCTAAAAAGGCCCTCTGCACTCGGACCCTCCCTATATCCCGCTTCATCTCCGCTCGCCTGTTGTGCAGGGCCACCAAAGCTTTCTTGGGTTTTTATAGTTCTTCTGGCTATGCCGACTGTTAGCCTCTCTCGCGGGCCCTCGTACGTTATTCCCTGTGCCAAGAACTTCTCGGATTCCCTGCCAGTTCTTTCTCTGAT